AATTTTATGTTTCATATCCTCATTGATCCTTCCTACGCCCCGTTTATCCTCCGGGAAATCAACTTCTACGCGTGCAACAAGAATGTATTTTTTTATTTGGTACTAGTATGTCTTGAAACTATGGATAATTCTTGAATAAGGAATTAGTTAGCCTACGTTGTTTAAGATTAAAATAAGGAAAACAACGAAATGATGTCATTGAATTACACTTTGTCAATTCAAGAAAACTAGTTAATTTGATTATGGTTGTAAAAATGATGTTGTTTATTAACTCGCTAGCCTGATTATGATCAGGATGCTGCCCTACTTTGATGATGTCCATCAGATTACGGACGAAAACTCAGTATATTTTGATTCGAATCGAAGGAGATTGCCTCTAAAACAGAATCATCAAAAATGTCCCAGCTAGCCAAGATAAATCCGCTGTCATCTTCTGATTGGATGTACCTTCGAAACTCCTCATGACATACGTTCACTCGAAATTGAAATGAGCTTAACAACCTGTTGCTAATTGTTGATATCAAAAGACTTTTTTGACATACTTGCTTAACCTTCTCACTGGAGCTAACACCTCTTTAATTCTCAATCCCTTTCGAAATCAGCTGTCCTGGGCCTTGACTCAGTTCTTCGAAAGGAGCCCCGTGTTGCGTTTCATGCTGCTCTGACAAACACCATAGTCGACAGACCGCCGTCAATCAATATCTCGTTGTTAACCCGGAACAAGAAGACCGCCTCTGTACCCAATTCGCTCATTAGTGAAGGTGGTGGAAGCGGTAGTAGCTGGGCGAAGTATATCTACCAGTCACCATGCGGCCTGGTCTTCGACAAATTAGTGATCAATATCGGCGATGGTTACAACGCCACGAACGGCGTCTTCACTTGCCCTGTGACAGGAGTATACGTATTTTCGCTGGTCATCTCGGCGAACGACAAGCAGAAGGTAAGCCGACTCAAAGGGCTTTAACTGTCCAAAGTGAAAATAATGATGTGGTGAATTGAGACGAGCAATTTCTTACACTACCAGGTTTAAATAACCTGAAGGCAAAAGGGTTTATAATCTTGGCTCGTTTTGATTCCTCTCATTCTTTCACACTTATATTTACTTAGTCCTCAACTTTCAGCTAACTCTTATCAAGAGTTGGCCGAGTCACAATGCAATTAAATTCGAGAATATTGTTGATGGCAGCGACGATTCTCGTGATTACTATGATCAGGCCTCCTCATCTATTCCAGGGACTGGCAAAGTGGAACAAAATTGCCCTCAGACACAATCAAGTTGACGTTGCCTTGTTCCATATGCTCTATTTTCTTGAGATTAGTCTGGTGAAAGTAGCCTACTAAGTTCTGGTCGCAGGTTTAGCATCCTCGTTAGGGACGGTTCACTCTTCAATAATGTGATACAGACTTGGTTTTTCTGACATG